CCATGAATGGATATGATTAGGGAGTACCGTGTACACTAGTCAACTGAGCCACATCCTGATCACTAACCAAAACGCATAGCTTCACTAATTGATGTGGCGTGCGCTGGTCCCTCTGATGAGTGGACTAGTAATCAGATCCTAGGGCTGTGAACTTTTCTGATTTCTTTAATTTCTTTAATTGATTTTCATTTTCTTTTAATTGATTTTTCATGTTTAATTCATATTAATTAGAATAATGATCAGGAAATTATGGAAAAAATGTGTGGGTGATCCTTGTTTAATTTCTGATTTTTCCATGCTTTTGGATTTTATTTTGGTGTTGGTTTCAATTTAATGTCCATTTTTCTATTTTTAATAGTTAATTGAAATGCATAAAATGACTTGATGCTTGCTGATTTTATGACCAATTCATGCTTTAGAATTTGATGGTGATTTTTGGCTGGCTGGTTATAGACATATTGATGAGATCATAGGATTTTTGTGGTGATTTTTAGGTAGTTCTAAGATTAGTTTTGAACTAGGTTTTTAGAGCCTTCCCCACTTGAACCTTCATTTGACAACTTTTGGTTTAGAATTTCCCTATTGCCCTTAAACATTGATTTAAGCTCTGGATTTTATACCATAGGTTCCCAATACCTTTAGGGTCCCTTGGAAATTTTGTATAGATTTTTAGGAGTTGATTCACTATTTTAGTTAGATTTTACATCTAGGTTGTTTGTAGGATGCTTCTAGCCTAGTACCTCCCATAGTTGAACTTCAAAAGTGACCTTTAGTTCATGATAAGTTTCCAAACCTTTTCTTATGGTTTAGTAGACATGTTGATGCCTTTGTAGATTGAATCTCAAGGTTTAATTTGGTGCATTAGTTCCCTTTAGAGAGTTGCTTTTAGAGCTTAGGGAATTAGGGTTTTAGAGCCTTTAGGAGTTTCTTCCTTTTTCATAATTGTGGTTTGCTTTGGTTTGCATTCCATTCCCTATCCAATGATACAAGGTTACTTGTGGGAGCCTAGTCCCTCCTTAGGAAGGACTAAAGGCCTACCACAAAAGGTAAAACCTTTGAGGATACCCATCTTAGATGAGTGGTTGAGTGCCATGATGGATTCCCTTGGTTTCCATCATGCTTCCCCTCATCATGCAATAATCTTTGTGTGGATTCACATCCTCTCTTGTTGGAGCAAGTTGAAGCTTGAAGATGAAGTCCTTATTCCCTTCTCTCCTAATGAAGATGAAGATGAAGTTGAAGCTTGGACAGATAACTTGGACTTGAAGACAGACTGTCAGACTGCTAGAGTGTTGTTGTGCTGCTCTACTGTGTTTGCTATTTAATTGTATTGGTGTGACTGTTTATTTGGTGTGTTGCATTATAATAGGCTTTCATGTAGTTGGTTCTAGGCCTAAGTGCATTAAAAGGTTGAGCTTGCCTCCCTTTGCTTATTTGCATGAGAGGTTGAGTCTGTCTCCCTCTGCTCGTCTGTTATTGTTTGGCTTTGCTTGTCGGCTAAAGGTTGAGTTTGTCTCCCTTGCCTGTGTATTGTGTTGCTTTTTATTGATTGCTCTAGAGGTTGAGTGAGTCTTCCTCTGCTTGTATTGCTGCATTGCATGTGCATCTTTACTGTTTATCTGTTTTACTGATGTTTAGCTGATGCTTTATCTGTTGTTTGTTTCCCATTGACATGATCCCCTAGGATTCTCACTTCCTTTGATAAGGAAGTGATGATTAGACTTTAGGCTGAAGCCTTTGCATGATAACATCTAGGAGTTCCCGGTTTCAAACCTCAACCATAGGATGAATCCTTGGCATGACAACATTAGGACTTGATAGTTTCCCTTTAGGTGTCCGTTCCCTTCTTTTATCTTCAAACAAATCAAAATACAGTAATAAAGGTTAATTGATATCGTGCATTACGAGCCTTAAGCTACTTAGGAAATGGTTGTTGGAGGGTTTCCTTCCAACAATCAGGATGTTTAGTATGGTACCCTTTAGGTGACATGCGACACATTCACTCCTAGGTCATAGTCTCTAGTGCGATAGAAATTGCAGACATCCATAAAAGACAAAAAACAAACTTCAAACCTTTTTGCCCCGTGGGCCCGTAACTCAAGGAAAACTTTTCTGAAGAAAAGAGTGTTGTTAGCTCCCAGTTCTACCGCAAACGGTAACGCACGAGTCTCTGACGAGCAAGCTGCATACACCAAACTGCTGGAACTGTTTGTTAACCCTACTCGGAAAAACAGATGAATCTGAACCCCCGTAATCCGTATTATCCCGAACTACGTAAGCTCTGATCTCTCATATCGGTTGAGAGTACGTAGGCACAATACTAACGTATTGGCGAGCCACCTTCCCCCATCCGTTACCCGTAGTTAGCCGAACTACGTTGACTCTGATTTCTCATTCTCTGACGAGAATACGTAGGCACGAAGCGCGATGCTTTGCCGAGTCATTTTTCTTTTCTTTTCAGACCAGCCTTGATAGGTAGATAGATAAAACCAACCCGTCAGATAAACACAACAAGCGTGGATCCCGTTGAGTACAACGGACGTGAGGGGTGCTAATACCTTTCCCTTGCGTAACCGACTCTCGAACCCAGACATGGTTGCGATGACCTTGTCTTATACCTTTTCGTCAGGTTTTTCCGATCGTTTCCTTTCCCTTTCTGTGGGATAAATAACGAAAGGTGGCGACTCTTCTGTTTTGCAGGCACCTTATTTTCGCAGTAGCGACACAGAGCACATCAAAATACTTCATGTCCACACAATGGGATTGAAGCCAAAGTAATCGAGGTCCTGAACCGAAGTCCGGATGCACATGAATGCATGATGCACACGTCAATAATCATCCTCATAATAACATCATAGGTGCATCATCATTCATCATAATCATCATCATCAAAATCATGTCATCATAGCTCATCATCATAATCATCATCATACATCATGTCATCATAGCTTATCATCATAATCATCATCATACATCATGTCATCATAGCTTATCATCATAATCATCATCATACATCATGTCATCATAGCTCATCATAATAATCATCATCATACATCATAGAAATCATCATATAATCATGTACAAATCACATAGAACTCACAGTCATACTGATATTAATTCATCATATTATCACATATTATCACATATTAATTCATAATTATACTCCCGGTAATCCTCATACTATCGCGTATCAGTCACATAGAATTCACAGTCATACTCATGTTAATTCGTCAAAGAAATAACAGAATCAAACATCAAAGCATCGTTGCACACGATCAACATTCGCGAAACTCTGATATGTTCGCTGGCATGTTCGCTAGGCGAGTCTGGGGCGAGTTTCTTTGTTGTGCGAAGGATTCTTCGCTGGGCGAGTCTGGGAACGAATTGTTCGCTGTGCGAAGCATTATTCGCTAGGCGAACAGCGCGATGACAGCAAAACTCAGCCACGCACCAGAACTTAAAATCAATCAAAAAGCCCCACGATTCACTTCACCAATGTCCCCAAAACATCCCTAAATCATCCCAAGGTCTTACAGCGGTAAAGGCAGTTGATCCAAGGCGAAGACCACGTGCTGGTCTTCCCTACGCCACGTAAGCCCTGACAGTTACTCGTATTGGGCCTTGCAATCCAACCCAATGCAAAGTAACTGTTGACCCTGCACTGGGGCACATTATAAATACCCTTTTTCACTAAAGGGTCAGGTATTATATTCACTACATATTTTCTCTGTATTTGCTCTCTCTAACTCCGTTACTCACTTTAGCATTGGAGTACCTTGCAGGTACACCCCCCTCATCCTCTTCAACACTGATGAATACAGGAGCTCACGACACGTGGCAGGCTGCTGATCCCTTTCTGATCCGGTAAAATCCTATATATGAATGTCTATAAATATCTGTGAATATTTCAAAATCTACAAATATCCTTTTGATAGATACCCGAACAGATATGAAGCGGATACAAACATCATATTTACTAGTAGTGAAGGACTAATACCATATTCATAAGTATCCATTATCGTCCCTAGTTTGAAATGAATGAAGTTAATAAAAATATTTCCTACATATTTGAAATGGGAGTTTGCACTATCACAACTTATTCTTATTTAGATTAAAAAAAAAAAAACTCATGTTGTAAATGTTGTGAATTTATTAGTATTTAAAATCTTTAATATAAATATTATTACATTAATGATTTTTTAGATCTTAAAAAAAATATGATTACATTTAACTAAGAAAAGAGTATTTTTTTTTATTAGTCTCACTATGTTAAAAAGATCATAAAAATATATAATTACTTTTGACTTTAAATCTGCTAGTACACCATATGATATAAATGTAAAAATTTGTAAGAAAAATTGTGAAGGTGTAATACAAGCTGAATATGTTATCTTCACTGGGAACTTCATGTATCCCATTCATGCTTAATATTCTAAATTAAACAACCAAAATAACAATTTAAAATTACTGTTAATTCTTTATTTATTTTAATTAATTTAATTTATGAATTAAATTAATGAGCTAAATTATATAGAAGATGAAACATAGAGGATGTTTGTTAGTTAATAAAATTTGTTCTCAAAAATATAAAAGTTATAGAAAAATATATTAACTTTTTTTTTAAGTTGGATAATTAATTTTTAAGTGTTAAATATTTTTACAAATAACATAATTTTAACATCCTCATGCTTTTATTTTCAAAGTAATGGTGGATAAGTGATAATAAAATTTAAATAACTATGCAGATATTCTACTTTTATGAATAATTTTAAGAGTGTAATAAATATTTTTCAAACTCGTCTTATAAATAATTACTTAAAATTAAAATTCTAATTCTTAGTTTCGAATAAATTTTATTCCTATAAACGAATTTTTTATCTATGAAACAAACGGGCCTGATTGCTTATAATTAATTTACCAACTGCATTGTAGGCTGTTTGATTTTCTATCAACAGCCTAGATGTAAATCTAATCATCAATACCATATTACTAAAGTCACTTCACTGAGGTGAAGTATTTTTATCATTGGAACTATTACTGTCAACCTTTCTCTTATCATTATCCAAATCTGTTATTGAATCATCTGTAGGATCGGAATCTGGTGTTTCAGTTAGGGTCCTAGCTGTTGAGGATTTGTCATCTCCATTTTCAGAAGCTGAGCTGACAGCATCATCCATCTCTTTCCCTGGACATTCAATTTGGACACACTCAGGAACTTCATTGTTATTACTATCATCATAGTCACAACTTCTACTTGAAGGTGTCAAGACTTCTTTTTTCACAACATTAAACACAATTCCATTAAGGATTCTTTCAGGCTGCAAAAGATCACCTTCAGTTACCATTATGCTAGATCCATTCATGACACCCCTATTGCCATTTTCTCTCTGATCGGATTCTGAGTTCTCAGAGCATCTTTCTGGTGTTGTGAATTTGGGACTTTGATACTGAAACTCCCGAGGGCTGAAATTAGTTCCCATTCCTTTATTTAGGTCAGTATCAACTTCCAAGTTTTGGACAAAGTCAATGAACATATCTGCCGAAGTAGTTCTCATCAGAGGACCGCCAGATCTGGTCCAAGTATTCAAGTCAGCACTTTCAGATTCACTGTCACTTACATCATGCATGCTGCGGTGGTATTTTGAATTTTTACCAGTGGCTCCACTAGAACTACTAACCCCATGATTAAATGAAGCAGCAGTGTCTGCAAGAAAGTCTTCAAGAGATCCGGTAGAATTCTCACGTGCAATGACATTCCATGATGGAATTCTTTTTGAGGCACTGAATTTGATATTAGTGGGAAGACTCTGAGTAGCAGAAGCAGCTCTCTCAGCACTTCTTTTTAGTCTTCTCATATGATTGAGAATTGCAACACACTCATCAAGAGCAAGCTCAATTCCACAATTAGCTTTAATGGCTGAAAGCTTCTCCCAAGTGCATCTTCTCCCTTGGTTAGCTGCCTTTTGAAGCTCCGCATAAGAAGGGTTCTGGATAATTTTTGAGTACTGATACAGGATGCAGACAACATACATAAATAAGTTAACCGTTATTTTAGTGAAATGTCCCTAATAAATGATACATAAAAAAAATTCCTTAAGCTTTTCCAAAATGTAAGGGACTCTTTGGCTTGAGAGTATGTTTTCCATTTTCATCTCTTATTTTCACTTCTAATTTGAAATCTACCCATTGTTTTCAACTTTATTACCTGCTTTTAAAGATTTGTACAGGAAGCGTAGAAACCAAAAAACTTGTATTCACTATTGCCTATACAAATCTTTGAAAACTGAAAACAAAATGAAAACACAGGGCAAGTTTGCAATTAATAGTGATGAGAAGATACGAAAACAAAAAACATTTTCTCAAACCAACAAGATATGAAAAATTCATCATATTATTTACAAGAATATAATAAAACTTAAAATGACCACCAACACTTTTTTCTTATCCAGTTGAAGTTATTTCTTTATCTACAAATAAATATCTTGTTTGTTAAATTGTTCTTAAGCCTCTATCTATACCTGAGCCAGAGTAGCAGGCATAACAACTGTTACATCACCCTCCCAGTCTTGAGCAAACAGCTTGGCAAGTCCACCTAATGGAAAACCGAGTTCCAGTATTTGATTACATCGATGTTTCACCTCCATCTCTACCAGATGAGCAAGCTGCAGAAACAAAACTAATATTTTCAATATCAAGTTGCAGGAAAGGGTATATAAAATTTGCAGAAAGGTTTGAACTTGAAGGTTTTATAGGTGCATTCAATATCTATTATAGATTGGAAGTCATGTGTATGTTTAGGAACAACTGGTAACATATTCTTGAGAGAATTTTACCATAATTTCAACAGGTAGCTTCTACTTAAGGGTCTGTTTGGTTGGGGGTAAATGGAGGGGAGGGGAGGGAATATTTAATAATTTATGTGTTTGGTTCAAATTTTAAGAGGGGGAGGGGAGGTAGATGGAGGGGACCAAAATCCCTCCTGAGCCACTTTTTGCTTCCCTCCAAATTGGAGGGATTTGGAGGGGAGAGAAGATGTTTGATTTTAATTATAATTATATTTACCCTTATTATTTATTTAAATATAAACTTAACTTATAACAATGTTAAAAGTTTTATTTTAAACAAATTTAATCTTTCTTTTTATATTTGTAGTATTTTTATATCTTCATCTTACTATCATTATATCTCTTTAAATTTTTTATTTTATTTTTCATATTTTTATGTTAATTTTAGTTATCGTAATGTTTTTTTTTATAATAATAAGGGGACCAAAACTGTAATTTAGCCAATTATATATTATAATCATTGCGTTTTTATAAAGTATTTCATGATGATCTCTGATTGAATATTTATATTTCGTCAATAAATTTGTATTTGAATTATAAACGGTAAATATCACAAGTCTTATGATAAAAGTAGAAGGATAAAAAAGTAAATTAGTTTTAAATTTCCTCCCTTCCTCTTGTGAACCAAACATATTTGTAAATAAAATGTCTCACCTCCCCTCCCCTTTCATATTTTGAACCAAACATATATGTAATTAAAATCCCTCCCCTCCCTTCCCCTCCCCTTTCATATTTTGAACCAAACATATATGTAATTAAAATCCCTCCCCTCCCTTCCCCTCCCCTTCCCTCGATTGAACCAAACAGACCCTAAGGGTCAGCTTCTTACGGGATTGTTTAATTTTAGTCAGTGCAAAGGGCATTGAACCCACTAAAAGATAAATACAATAACAGATAGTCCTTGGTATTTCATAGTCTCACCAGTAACCAAATCAAATTTAAGAGTAAATCAGAACACTTTTAAAAGAACAAGCAGATATAAGGAAATCGATAAATAAAAGCTAACTGTCCGGGTAACTAATCAAACAGTGAGGAATCATTTTATACATCAACTTACAGGACTGATGTTTTGGTGATGAGGAGACAAATATATCAATTAATGACATAATCAGGCTAATCAATATGCACGTATTATTGTCCGTTCAAAGAGGTCAAAGTCCTGGAACATACCTTGGCAGCAAAATTACCTCCATAAGCTCGTACAAATTCTTTCAATCTTAATAATGGTGCAATATGAGGATTGGCCTGACTGACAATAAAATGATTGACATTGAAGAGCTCTTTCAACTGCATCATAGGAAGATCAATCTCCAAGCTACCATCCCTCCAACGACGCACTTGTGAGGAACCCTCTTCAGGACCCAAATTAAATGGAGGATGGTAAGGAACAATCTCTCCACTTCTATCCTTTGCCATCAACTCCTGAGCCTCAAAAAGGCCAGGAAAGGCACAAGAAGCCGTGACTGCACTCCATATAACAACATGGGGTGATGTCAAGTAGTTAAGACATCTAGGCGGTTCATGCTTTCTCGGGGAGCAAACTGTAATCCCAAGAACTCGGCCCGTCATGTCATAAGCTTCTTGAAATGTAAGATTGCTTGTTAGATGCCTCAACATGATCTGCAACTGTCTGATCTCATGAACAGCACCAAATGTTGTGACCCTCTTGACGATCGTAAAAATCCCACCCATTTGATCAAAAAACTGCAACGAGTGCAATGAATCCTCAAAAAAGCTTTGAAGCTCTGGCCAAGACCTAGTGGCAACAATAGAACACATAATGGATCCCACACTTGACCCAGAAATAATTCTGGGCATAAGTTTATGTTCAACAAGTGTTTTAACCACACCGACATGAAAAGCTCCAAGAGAAGCACCCCCGCTTAACAACAAAGCAGTCCTCCCAAAAGCATGTCTAGTTTCATGCATGAAAGCATGTTTTTCTTCCAACGCAAGCTCCTCCGAATCAGAGTGACAAACCATTCTCAACTGAGTTGAAACCTCATCAATATACTCTTTGATTTGTCTAGGCACATGAAGCCTACCTTTGTGAAGCTCAGGGTTACACATATTACCTAAATTTCTAACGAGATCCGCTCTCATACAAAAAATAATATCTCTAAGAGAGCCCTCTTGTCTGCGATGTTTTAATTCTTCAAGCTTGTTGGTGACCAATTCCACATCATAGAAATCCGATGCACTCAACCTTGGTGTCTCTTTATCAAGCATCTTAGCTGCATGAGCCCACTCCTCATAAGTCAAAGCAGTTGTCATCATATTTCTCCAAAATTTCCTCCTATATGCTAATTCAGCCTTTACTTTAACATTACTATAACGTTTCAATAAGAAAGCAAGAATTGTCATCATCGCTAATATCCCCTGAGGGTTTCGCGGATGCAACCATGATATAATGGGTCCCCAAAATCTCCTAAACCTGTGAAAGAATTCCAACAAACTTAAAAATAACTGATATCTGAAATGTGAAATGGATTTACAGAAAAGAACCCTAAAAGCAATTGCACGGCCAAGAATTCCTGAAGGCCCGATTGGAAAAAGATCAACTGTAGCTTCATTGCTTATACGATCCATCCCTGGAAGAACAAATGCTAGAAGCAATGCGATCTTATCTTATATACAAACAAAAAAAAAGGACGCGATCAACAAAGAATGAAATCAAAAAAATAACATAATTACATATTCAAATGGAGGAAGGTTGAATTATGATATTGGATGAAAATGAATAAATTAAGAGGCAGATATTATATGGGAAAGAAAAGGTTCCCGCTAAGCCACGGAATGAAGGAAAGAGGCTCAGCGAGAAGAAGAGTACGAAGGAAGAAATGAAAATTTGGTATGGGGGAGGGGGACATTGGGATATGGGAGGTTGGGATAAACAGCGCCCATGCTCCAAATCAATATATCTCAACTTTACTGCCTTCATACTCATTTTTTATTTTACTTTTCGACTCTTACTAATTATAAACACTTTTCTAATTAAATAAACACCGGAGCTTTTTTTTATTTACTTTTTGTTTTTGTTTTTATTTTTCAAAATTAATTTTAAAAGAAGTTGTTTCTAAAATATTATTTTTGAAAATTGATCATTACATTTTTATGTGCATTCCTAACCCTTAAAAACTTGAAATTGTTTTTTATGCGTCTTGAGATGTATCTTTAAACGTATCCAAAACATAATAAAATGCGCTATCCTAAAACCAATTTCATTTTAATCAGAATATGGTCTGGAAATGCATCTCCGTATATTATCTGGGTGAATCTGAAGATGCATCTTCGAAAAGTCTTCTGAAATTCTTTTACAGGTATTGTAAGTGTGATAATTGGAAGGGAGATTACTTCGGAGACACATTTTCGAAATGTCCCCTGAATTTCTCTTACAAATATTGGAAGCGTGGTAATTATAAGGGGGATTATTTCGGAAATGCATCTTCAAAATATCCTCTAAAGTTCTTTTACAAGTATTGGAAGTGTTCTGAACTGGCCCAATGGTTGCCCAATCCACTTCTGCTTCCATAACGGCCCAATTGCCTAAGTCCAACCTCTTTGGTGGAAAGTTTGCCTTTCTGCCCCTCCAACAGGGGAGGTTGACCAATTACCCTTGGTCACAACACCTCTCTCCGCCAGTCTCTGTCAGTCACGCACGGTTCCACCATCCAAAAACAGCCAAGACGCTTGTGCCCGTAACTATACATATGTCCGTCCCAACGGCTAGTTATGGGCATGTCTGCTCGTCCTAACGGCTAGTTTTGGCAGTTACCTATTCTTCGAGAAATGGTTATCTCGCCCCGAAAATAGGGACCAATGGCCAAACATTGGGGGCACTATATAAACCTTCTCACTTGAGAGGGTCGATTCCCCCTGAAACACTTATATTTTGTACTTGTTCTCTCTCTCTCTCTCTCTCTCTCTCTCTCTCTCTCTCTCTCTCTCTCTCTCTCTCTCTTGCTCGTTTTTTTACTTTAGCATCAGAGTGCCTTGCAGGTATACCTCGCTTCTTTCCTTTCACTTCTGAGTTGAACCATCTCTTTCTCTAACTCTTCATTTGTCTTTTGTAACTCTTCTTTCTCGCGGCATACCTGCTCATACTTTTGGATATCTACTGTAATAGGCTCTACAGTCTCAGGCCGATGCACAGGATGAATGGACGGGTATGGCATTAATAATTCTTTGGCTCTACTCTGAATCCAAGCCAAATACGGAGCGTATGCTTGACTATTGCCTTTTCCCAAAGCAACCTTTTCCCTTTTATGGACATTCCTCCATGCATGCTCAATTCTAGCCAAAGTATCTCCCTCCAGCAAACCAGTGAAATACAGAGATTCCTGTATCTCTTCCTCCTTCGGAGGCCCTCTAAGTGCGTACCCAAACTGTCGGATAGTAATAGCCGGGTTATAGTTTATGCAACCTTTCCTTCCGACCAGCGGGACATTAGGAAAGCTTCCACAACTATAGATAATCTCAATGCCCAATACATCTCTATCAAACCACACAATGTCTTCGGCAGACAATCTCATCAATCGCTCAGACCATTCCAAAGTGCCATCAGTAGCAGAGGACGGACCAGCCTTAGGGAGATGGCTCCTGAACCAAGAATAGAACAATGGTGCACAACAAGACACGCCTTTCCCTCTCCTGTTCTCATTCTTGTAATGCTCATAATGATAAACATCGCCTAACAGAGTGGGTATAGGGTTCTTTGAAGCAAAGATACTGAATGCATCGGCGTCTACAAAATCTAGGATGTTCAGAAATAACATAATGCCATAGATACACAAGGCCAAGATAGCATTGAATATCACCCAACAACCCTTCTTAACAAACTCTCGAGCCTTGTCCGCAAGAAAAGGCAATGGAAACCCAAACATTCCATTCCTACTGGCTAACTTCCCTTCCAACTCATAGACATCCAAATGTAAAGCCTTAGCAAGGTTAGTCAAATCTGGCTTTCCCTCAACATGATGGAACGGTATCTGGTTCAGAATAGGTATACCCAATATATCAGAAAACTCCTCCAATGTAGGTGCTAGAACAAAACTCCGGAAGGTGAAGCCTTGCAGCTGAGGATCATAGAATTGTAACAATGTCTGAAGGCCATTCAATTCATCCAAAGAAGGTTTGCAAACAATATTCAAAATCCTCCCATAAGATTCTATGAAATCCTCCATAACCTTCTTGTCAGCTAAAGAAATCAGGCTTCACAAAACTCTAATGTCAGGCGTAGGAAACTTGTAGGCCAGGGTCCTCCTCAAGGGCTCCATGTCAACAAAGATAGAACAGAATCACCAGAATCGAAGAGGAAATGTACACCTGCAACATAAACACATGTCAATGAAATGCAAATGAAAATGCACATGCAAATGAAAACAGGGGATCAGGACTGTTGTGCTGTCGGTTGAGAAGAACCAGCGCTTCGCCTTAGTACCGACAAAATCACTGACATAAGGCCCCTTTGTACTATGAACACAGGTTTACACTGTCAAGAACTGGGTAGTCTGGAAGTCAAGGTTTCCTGCATAACCCACCCACTCACAGGTATGGACCTATCCACTGACAAGGTTCGGCATCCTATGCGTTCATCAGCGTCACAGACTTTCAAGAAACGATAATACGATACCCAGAAGGTGTGGCATCATCATCTCTTGAAGAGGCCTCACTTAGCTGAATCACAAATGATCGGTCCCCAGAGTCGACAACCCTCAAATCTGCAATTCTCTCAACGGCCCACTGGGCTGGAAAGAAAGACATCAAAGAGAATCTCGTCTGAGTGCAAAATTTGTGGGAACTAGTGCATGCCTAACATACAGGTTCACCACTACTTTTCACTGATAATACTAAGTTTGTACTCAAGCCCAGGTCCGACTTCTCACTCAATGGAACTTCCCTCCCCATAGCACAGCAGTAATGATATATGATGCGGAAAATAAAATGCGGAAGTAAATAAACATAAAGCACATATATACAAACACCCAAAAAGAAAACACACAAGCGCTAGGATTGACTCGCGTAGGGGATATTCCTGTCCCCAGCAGAGTCGCCAGCTGTCGCTACTGCAAAAAAAAAAGACGCCGACAATGACTAATAGAGTCGCCACCTATCGTTATTTATCCCAAAGAAGGGAAAGGAATCGATCGGAAAAAACCTGACGAAAACGGGAAAAGACGAGGTCATCGCAACCAAGTCCTAGGTTCGGGAGTCGGTTACGCAAGGGGAAGGTATGAGCACCTCTCACGTCCGTCGTACTCGACGGGATCCACGCATGTGTTGTCTAACTAAAAGGGTGTGTAAACTATCTACGCTAAAGGCTTATGGACAAAAGAGAAAGAAAAAGAACTGACTCGGCAGAGCATCGCCGCTCTGTGCCTACGTACTCCCTCGTGCAATGGGAAAGTCAGAGTCAACGTAGTTCGCCTAACTACGGATAAAATGGGGGGAAGGTTGCTCGCCAAGACATTGCGTCTTGTGCCTACATACTCTCAATAGGAATGAGATATCAGAGCAAACGTAGTTCGGGCTTACAAGAACACAGGCTGTTCAAAAGTTTTACCCGAGTAGGGTTAACAGACAGTTCTAGCAGTTGGTGTATGCAGCTCGACCTTTGGACTCTTAGGCATTACCATTTGCAATAGGACTGAAAGTTAACAACACTCTTGTTTATGAAAAGAGTTTTCCTGATTAAGACCCCAAGGGGTGAAAAAGAGTTTGAATTGTTTTTGTATTTTTTAAGGAAGAAGTGTTTTGAATTTGGTTTGCGACACATGCTACACTAGAGACTATGATCTAGGAGCGAATGCTTCGTATATTGTCCGACGGACATACACTAACATTCTAGATAATTGAGAGGCAACCACCCAATCATCATTTCCCAAATGTCTTAAGACTCATAGCGTGCAACAATGGTCAAGCTTTATTAAGTGGATTGAAGTTGTTTGAAGATGAGAAGAGAAAGAGGACGAACTAAGGGGGACTAGTCCAAGCCCTAAAAGTTGTCATGCAATGTGCTCCTAAAGTTGAGTTTGAAAGAGGACTACCTAATGTTATCATGCATGGTTAGAACCCTAATGTCTATCATAACCTCTCTTGAACAAGAGAGGTTAGAAATCCTAAGGGAAGGAAGACAAAAGAAAAAGAAACAATAATAAGAAACAATGCAAATGTAGGATGCAAACATAAATGCAACAAGGAAGACAAAGATGCAATGCAAGTGAAGGAGGAAATATGTGTGGGGATGGAACCTCCACAAGCTCATATCAACCTCAAGCCATGGTATGAATAAACACAAGAGAAATGGAGAAGAAGATGCATAGGAAACAAGCAACAAAAATAATGAGAAAATGTCCTCATGGATTCATTACTTTAGGCAAGCTTCAGGTGCCTTTGACTTTTGATCCAAGCCTAATCCTAAGCCTTGGGACATGATTCAACATGCTCATATACCTCATTGAAGCCTACTCATGATGTTTGGGAAGTCCCAAGTGGCAAATTTATTGAAGATCATACAGTTGAATTCATCTGATTTAAAATTCATCTGACAAAGTCAACTCTTTAACTTTTAGGTTTTTGGTTCAAATTGG